ATAAAAAATACCACACAAGGCTATTATAATGCTGAGTGCTGACTGAAATGACCAAGGACTTTGTTAAATTTGAGACAATTACCTGCAACAATTAAAATGGTTTGAACAAGTATAAAGGGCACTTATGTACCATTGACAATTTTTAACAAACTATTTGTTTTGTAAATTGCGTAGCAGCCATATCAGAGGGCATCTTTGTTACTTTAATTCGGTAACAATAAATGCACAAGAGTTTCACTCAGGCATATCCCAGGAAAACAAGGGCACTGCCCTCTAAAATGGCTGCTAGGCATATAATGTCAGCTAAACTATCACTTTTTAAGCAGTTTTTTATCATAATGACAACTTACTCAAAAATCTCTTTAACGACCTTTTTTTAATCATTGGGTTTTAGACAAAATTTTCAGATGTTGATAAAGTTTACTTGCATTTCTAATACTTGAACACAAACTACCTGGGACTCGTGGGAGAATGTTATACGCTAAATTTTGAAGGTAAATTTGGAGAAAGTCTGGATTTGTGCAGGATTTTCTTTCTTTAGGATAACCAAATGTCTAGCCTACAGAAGTAGGGCATTTTATTTTTCCTGCTTTTTAACCAGGTAAGCATCTTCTAAATTCTATAGTGAATTTCAAGTGGAAAAACAGTCTAGGTTTCAAATTCAGGGAACACCACTTTCCAGGAAATTTAGCGTACGTTGCTGTGAGGTTTACAATATGGAGGAAGTCCAGTATTTGAGAATGAAACACATTTACGGGGATAATTATTCGTTAGATCCTCAGCCATTCAAGATTAAAGAAATGGAAAACAAAAGATGAATAGCCCTGTCAACAGGTCAAAAAAAAGACTGGAAAGAATGATATATTCGGACGCCACTAGTTGTGTACAAAGTGTATGGAGGGTTGAGTACATTTTCAAACTTCAAAGTAGTTTTTAACAAAATTGGAAATGTTTCTCAGTCCCAGATTCATGTCTTTCCAACATTTTTGCAGTGACTGCCCTTCATTTGGGGTAATAATATATGATGAAAAAAAATTGGCGTCAGGATGCAACATTCTTTCCAAATTTTGTCAGCGTCATTGTTATTGAAGGGTTTTTTTTGGAGGGGGGGGGGGTGGTAGTGTTACTATTTACCTTTGACATCAGGTGGAATCCGGTGGTCCACCCCTCTCCTGCTGTCTCCGTGGCCATGCTGTCGGGACGATTTGCTGCCTCCTGGTCCCCGCCCACCACTGGCCGAGTGTCGCCTGCCGCTGGCGCTGGAGTGAGGGGCAGCTGCGGCCTGACTTACGGGCGCCGCTTCCTTCGCTGACGGTGCCTGGTCGCCCTTGCCATGTTGCTGGCCCATGTTACTGCATGGTGCGGAAGTACTCCCTGCACGAAGTCGATCTCATTCGTTTGCAGCCGTACCCCGACCGAGTTTTCTACCTGGAATAAATCCCGGATTAGATGTGAAGGGACCCTCGGCTCACCCGTCCGTTGACGGGACGTTGCAGCTACGGGATGTGCTCCAGTTTGATCACATTTCATGCCGTGGATACAGTCATTTGCGCGATAATTCGAGGGCTTGAGTTATCGAAAATTTCACACGTAAATCGATCAGGAAGTGTCAGCCATCTTACATGTCTTGTAAGCTGTTGGTGCCCGTCAATCATGTCCACTTTCCATTTGTGAAATGTGATGGCTACCAGTGATGTAAAAGGTTTTCAGCACAATGAAACAATAGAGGGCGGTAGACTATTTTCTAGACCGTAGAAAAGGAAAAGGTTGCCGCGCCTCATCCGTACCCCGTACCCGGCCGGCCGTTTTTTGTAAATTTTGCCTATTTCGGTATTTCTTTAAAAATTTGTTTTGAAAAATACTATTGCATTTTGTACATTCATGGCTGATGTCAATATGAAAATATCTACTTGAACTTTAAATCGAAACAATCGCAGGTGCCATTTCCGATTGCTCTGCCAATCCAACCAGCCGCCCCCAACGTCAAGTTTAGAATAAGAGTTCCGAGACGTCAGAGCACGTGGACTTGGGTTCGAGTCTCCCTTAAGCCAGTTAATGTAGATTTCTTTTCAAAAAATTGAAATTCTGACCGGGGCACAAGTTTGGTACAGGCCTCGAGTGTCCCCCCCCCCCCCCCCCCCCGCCCCTATGTCACCCCCCCCCCCCCCCCCAGTCAGGTGGTATTCGGTCATCTGCCCCTCCCCACCGCCATGCTTTTCCTATTTACATGCTGCTGGTTCTATTCCCTAATTGTCTGCCGGGTTCTTGTAAATGATTACTTCGGTGAAGGACGCCTTTGTCACTGACATCACGTAAAAAACTAATTCACAATGTGCATTGTGTGGCAATATGAAGTATTCCATGCTCATTAGGCTCATGTTTCAAACCTCATGACGATGTGCGATTATCTTCCACCCAAAAAACACCAGGGGGACTCATTGGGACCTAATTAGAAATATTCTCCTCAAATTCAATTAATTGCTCCCTGGGCTGACTGGGCCAAAACAAAAGTAGACTCAATTTCGAGTAGATAAAGGGTAGGTCTTGCGGGGCAGGTTGTTCACCAAATCAAAGTACTTTTTGTCGGCTAGCAATACTATTGTGAACAATATTATATGGACGGTAGACGACGATTTATTTCGTATGCCTCAGTAATTTAACGATTGATCCGTTATTGCAAAGGTTTTCGTCTGGTATCAGTCCGTCACCAAGATGGTTTCTGAGATCTGGCCGAGTTTTTTTTTACTCATTGTTGGCTGTCTGATGATGTCCGGGATGGCTTGGACCACAAGTGATTGTAAAAACGGTCTGGACAAGACGGTGCAGCACACGATGTAGCCGCACTAAGGGGCCATTCAGAATTTTCAATGTTTTAAAATTTCGACTTTTTTCCCAAATTATTTTGACCCACCCACCCACCCCTAATTTCGATTAATAAAAAACTGATTTGTTAGGCATAAAAAAAAACATGTACATGTACATGCATTACATCCCACTGGCGAGCCTGTGCGGGTTGCGTGTCCTTTCGGAAAAAATGTACAGAACATACAGGGGACGAAGTTGGAAAAGAAACACGCATCGCAATATCGGAACGCTTGCGCGTAGTTCAGGCAAGTCAAAAGATCAAATTTTTTTGGCTCTTTTTTTTCCATGAAAAGTGAATTTCGATTTTCAATTATTTAGCTTGACCCACCCACCCACAATTTGGAAAAATAGTCGAAATTTTAAAACATTGAAAATTATGAATGGCCCCTAACTGCCCGCGCCGCGCCTCGGCGGTGACCTGGTGGTGCCCAACTCGCGCGCGCCCGAAAGAAAACAGGTATATCTACAATCCTGCTTCTGGCGTCGACGGTCGGGCAGTTCTGGCTCGGCTTCCCGAGGAGGGAAACCGAGGCTAGGAGGGACTCAGACTGCTCAGTGAACTAAAACTTCCATAATTAATTAATTTGTCATTGTTGCTTATTACTACTACATGTAGGCCTACTTGGCATCATGATCACGTCTAGGACTGTATGATCGGCATTTGTTTAATTTGTTTGCACCGTAATAAAAAAGTTGGTGAAAAGTGTTGCACAGTGTTGTTGATTACCACAACTGTCGATTAATTCTTTGAAATCATTTGAGAAGAACTTAAGGGAAAATGTGAGGCAATTGCCCAGCACAAAAACGTAGTAATTCTTTTTCTCAAATACAACAATTTGAAATCTAGGGTAGATAATTTGCCATTTGTGTTTTTTTTGTTTCCATTTGAAGCAACAAAAGTGCTCAAAATCCAAAGACAGGTGCTTAAAAAGTAACCTGATGACCTTTTAGCTCAGTGAATGCTGTACATTCCGAGAAAACAATGTTTCAGGATCTCGATTTCAATTCAAAAGTTGCCGAGTCATATTTTGAATTGCGCCCGAATTCAGAATCAGGGACACGTTCTCATTCAGCCGATTGCAGCTACGCGATGTCACGCACTGAACCGACAAAAAATGGTCTTTTTCTTTTTTACTGTTTTCTTCAAAATGACAGCTTGCCAGAAAGAATATTTTCACAGGGAGTTTCTTGCCATTACTATCTTTAAACCAAGTAAGCTTTTCAACAATATTATTACTTCAGTTACTTTTTGGATAGCTGCAAATGATCTACTCTACCTAAACCTAACTTGTTATACAGTTTTTGCTCAGTGGTTATTAGGCCTACATACATTTTGAGAAAACGGAGAAAACACACGCACAGTTTCCAGTCGGCGATCTCGAGAGTATGCCCACGGACACACTTTTAAAACCACCTTCAATGAGTGCTTTATTTTTTTTCGATCGAAACCATATCAGGTGGAATAATTTCACAGGGAATATGGGACCAGTCTTAACGTTGAGCAAGGTTTTTGCCTTTAAAGCCATGGAGATCGATGAAATGCAACCGTCCTTAAACAAGCGTGCAAGCTGGCCAATTATTATGTGACGAGGACAAGTCTTGCACCATGCAAAATATTCATAAGTAAAATAAGCATAATCTTTCGCCCTGAAAAAATTTACAATCCGTCAAAACGTTCGTGACGTAAAAGTGTTTTAAGTTCGATGCTCTCTACTTTCCAAAAAGTGGAACAAGACGATTTAGAGTGAAAATCACTCTAATTTTAGATTGAAATAATTTGAAGAAAAAAGGATTCACTTCAGTCGAAACTCGAGTGAAAACTTGGTTAAGAATTTCACTCTTGATAGTCTATCTTGTCCCTACTGGAGAACATTTCTCTCCAGTAGAGTGAGTATTTATACTCATTGGAAATAGGAGATTGTAGGCCCTGATGATCTGAAACATAAATGCCAGGGCAAAGTCGTTGATGTTGTTCAAACGTGAGAATTTTAGTTTTTATATAATTTTACTGCATAATGAGGACTTATCCAACTACACATGTATAGCATTGCGAACATTTTGAATAATTGTAGAACTTATGCAGCTGCGGGCGTTAAATGTGACAATTCGCATACGAGTTACGAATCATGGTTTCCTTAGTGGAGAGCCAATCCTCTACATTTTTGGCATTTGATGAGCCTCAAGCAAGCTCGTCTCATGTTGGTATTCATCCACGCGTAGATGAATGGATTCCCAGCGGGGCCCAGGAGAAGCAGGGAAAACTCGAACCTGGCCGCCCGGAACAGCACCGGGTATGTCGGGCCGAGGACGTAGGTGAGAGACTGAGGCAGCCAGCAGACGACGAAGAGGAGAGTGACGAAGAAAGACATCTTGACGAGTCTGATCTCTTCCTTGCTGAAGGTGATATTTCTTCTCGGGCGATGCTTGTGGATGCTCGGTTGCACTGATGCGGTGTCGGGGTCGACTGCCCCCTGGGAGGCGACCGACGCCAGGGCGTCATTGGTACCGGAGGAAACCGCTGTCGAGACGGCGGTTGAACCCACGACGCCCCGCACTCGCCTCTTGCTGGCCCGTATGGTGCGGAACATGAGAAAGTACTGCAGGGGGATCACGACCAGGGAGGTGAAAATCACCAGCACGATCAGCACGGTGATGAAGACCCAGGTGCTTGGGTGGAACGGGTCTAAGGCGCAGGTGCCGAAGAGGGGGTTGAAGTCGGTCTTCACGCGGGCGACAAACTCGGCCACGACAAAGCCGATGATGACAGCCTGCAGCCACATGAAGACAATGTTGGCCAGGACTTTCCTCCGGCCGCAGAACCGCTCGTAGACGGTGCGGGGTTTGGAGATGAGGAAGTAGCGGTTGGAGGCAACCGCGGCCAGAGTCAGCAGCGACACGCCCATCAGGGCCAGGGAGATCTGGACGCAGAGCCGGCAGGCGACCGAACCTAAAGGCCAACGGTCGAGCAGTACACTCGCAAAATTTAACGGGCAGGTCACGGCGGACAGCAGAAAGTCCGACACGCTCAGGTTCAGCACAAAAGCGTTGTGCAGTGTACGGAGATCCGGAGTGGTCGCGATGGACAGTATGACCAAGAAGTTACCGATCGCACCCGTAATTCCCAAAAAGGCGATGGCCGTGGCTTGCATGATGCGCACGCCGTCCGACACGGCATACAGGTCCTCATCATCCCGCTGCGATGTCTCATTTTCAAAGTCCGAGAAATTCCACATGGTGTCCTTTGGAATGGCGAACTCCAAACAGGCCACAGAATGGTCAGAATCTTTTCAAGCTACCAGATTCCAATAACAAAATCCTTCCTCTCCTAAATCTCGAGACAGAATGCACTCAAACACTCAACCTTATCCATCACTGCAACTTGGCTCTGCCTTAATTCCTCGTTCCGCCGGAAAAAGCGATGTATGCGTACCATCAATCGCTTGGACTTGGATAAACACCACAAAACGCTTAGATTAGGCTCCAAGTCTTGAAATTTGTCTGGTTTGTTTGCTTCGAGACAAGCGAGACACTCAGGGGTATAGAAGCCAATATGATTGAGACGCATTCGCAAGAAGAGATTGTCCACTCAAGTTAATGTATAACCCCGCTGTACACATTTTGAGGCACTTCTCTCCTCCCGTGAAATTGAACAATTGAACAAGAGGACAAACTCATGCAATAGAGCGACATCCTAAAAATGTAACTGTGGCGCAGTCGACAGGCAGGTAAATACAGCGAGTAATGTTTTCCCCGTATACGGAGCAAGCGACCGTACGTCAACGTCATCACGAAGAAAGAGTCCTTCACTTTCGATTACACACACCAATAAGATGGCGCGTTTGCGCATATCACGGTCAGTATTTTTTTCTTCTGCAACAACGTATAACACTTACCATAATACGCATGCGTAAAAAAAATCACGTGACTGAAATAACATATCACGTGGTTTAAGTTAACTTGATAAGTTTTACAGATTTGGAGCGAAAATCTAAGCGCAAAATCCGTTGTCGAGAGACATGAGACACAATGCATGACGCCCCGCCTTGTTTACATAATGGGCATTTCTTATGGGAGCCACGTGGAGACCAGAAGCACCAAGCTCCAATAAGAAAGCCTACGTGTAAACAAAGCGTGACGTCATCATGACCTACGTGTAAACAAAGCGTGACGTCATCATGTCCGGTGTATTAACGCATGCTTATTATGGTTCGTGACTATTCTTGGTTGCAGAAAAAAACCTTATTGCCCACCAGCGAGAGTAGGTGGGACAACACAATTAGCTGTATGGAGATAGGCAGGCATTGGTTGTTTACATTGTACATATAGAATTCCAGCATTTTTCCCCCGAGATCTCGACAGTTGCGGAAATTTGCACATGTAATTGCAATGAGGGCTCTAAGGACAAACTTGGTTTGTTCAAACGGTCGTTTTATGTCGAATGAAAAACCAGTCACCCTTCTCAAAAGAGATTACAAAAAAATGAATAATTTACAAATGGCACGCACCGCACTTGCTGCGAGGATAGGAGGCTGTAATAACTGTTATTCAAATCGCTCGAACATTCATATCAAATCATACAGGAAACCCAAAGAACTCAAACAAATTAGAATTCAACTTCCCAAAGCAATTTTTTAAATTCCTCAATTCGGATGGAATTTAATCTTTAAAAGAAACGTATCGTCACTCTCTAATATAAAAGCTGACACCCACGTTGTCGACAGAAGCAATTTGCAAAGATGGGAGTCTCAACTTCGAAGTGGGAATTAAACAAGAGAGGTTGGATAATGTATTTTGTTTTCGGTATTTTTTAACCTTTTGACTTTTATCAGTTGTTTGTATAATTTTACGCGGACACCTAGTTTTCCTGTAGTAAAAATAGCCATTTACACGATTTGACCCGATTTTCTAGGCTGTAACCTTGTGTGCCTTGAAAAAAAGGTCGTACATTTGTGCTGCTTTACAGTGGACATCCACCGACTTCAGTTTAAGTGGACAAAAAAAAAATTAGAGCATTTGATGGGAATTCCAGTTCTGCTACTAATTAATAATGTTAGTCCAACGAAACGGGTCCGCCTCCAATCCATGCCCTGGTCCCCGCCCACCCTTTTGGTGACGTCCTCAACAAATTTGGCTCAATGAAACTACACCGCCATTTACAGTGCATATTTAATAATCTTCCCCTTTTTGATCAGTTTTTATCGCTCTATCTGTTTATTTCGATGAAACTGCGATTTGCAAGCGCAGGAGAAAAAACATCACACGGTCCACATCAAAGTGACCAATTTGATATTATCAGTGACAAGAAAGCTTTGACATCGGTCTTAGGAAGGTATATCGATCCACGGAGACCTTTAAATTTTTTCAAGAAAGGTCGCGGTGGATCGATGTACGTACTTCCTAAAATACCGACATCAAAATGAGACAGTCCTCGAAAGCTAAAGGCGCGTTTGGTGCGCATGAACAAAAAAAGAGAAGACCTCCCTGAAAAAAAACACCGAGCACAAATATAACAAGCTGAATAGCTGAAAATTCAAGGGCGGCCAAAATGTAAGTCACAAAATTGCATATTGCAACATCGGCGCATTTCCGCCACATCTTCACGACAACGCTCGATTTGGCTGACATTTAAGTCCTACATTCTATTTTTCTTCAAAACAGCGGTGCAATCATGATGCATGATCGAATGGGGAAAAGGCAGAAACTCTGTTTTGTCTGAAAACAATTCCCGCTAAAGGCGAGCCATTTTGGTAATGTTGTAAACTATGGCAATAAAAAACATGTTTTTATCATTGATTAAATTTGTCTTTCTCTTGATTGTCTTTCTCTTTTGACCACACAATCATTGGTCGTACATTGTGTAAAAGTGGGGTCGTACGTATACAAACTAGCAAATGCTAGGAAGTTTAAACAAACAGCAAACGCAATTACTTTAAAGTAAAAGCATTAAGGAAAAACAGCGATTGAATTCGTATGAATAAAAGCTTCTTTTACTGTTCCGCATTATTTTGCTAGTTGGTAGTAAAAGCTTCATATACTTGTGGTTGATTGCACAGCTGAATGGTTTATAACGATAGAGTTTCACCTACATGTGCACAGAGCATCCGTAGACCTCAGACATAATGACGTCACGCTTTGTTTACATGTGCGCTTTCCTGTGGGAAAACCCTCTAAATAGGAGCTGAATTGTAAATAGGAGCTGAATTTCTTAAAATGTTGCCAAGTAGGAGCTGAGGCATTCTGGAGCTCCTTATGTCTCCCAAAGGTACATCTCCTACGCTCAAGTGTCTCCAAAATGGTGTAATTTGCGATATTGTTTTTCCTCCATTTTGGAAGATGACTAGTCCCAATCATTTACTCCTTTGTGTATACCAAACGAAGCAAATGCTAATAGTACAGCCAAATCTACAAAAGTAAAACTAAACACTTTTAGTTTTTTACCAAATGCTTTCCAATAAAAGCATATGCTTCATTTTTATTCATACAGGTACAAGCAAAATGCTTTAACCCTAAAAAATTTCCGGCTCTACGCGCCGTGAAAACTGAATTTTCCCATATACGTCGTGTACATAGAGCAGAATTACCATTCGTACATAATATGAATAATTAATTAGCCATAATTCCAAAACCCTTTGACTTATAGCCATGAAATGTCTTGGGTATGTTCATGATGAGTTGCCCTATGCATGTACCGAGTTTCAAAATTTTCCGTCACTCGATGGCCAAGATCTTAGGGGGGGGGCCGAAATCCCCCCCCCCCCCCGGCTGAGAGATGGTCAAAATAACCCGGCCCTTTTAGGGTTAAAGTTAGCAGTAGAAACAAATGCTAGTCTTTATACAAACGACGTGTGTGTTTGTCTGGTTTCGTTATCTCGTTTACTATTTTTTTAAAATTACACTTCAATTCACGAGATTGCTGAAGCGTTCTTTGCTGTGTGCTGGTCGATTGATTTGTTTCCAAGCAGGTCGTGTGGCTTGTTAATTAATTGCATTATATTTGCCAAGGACGAGAGCCTAAAAAGAAAAAAAATAGGTTATGCCAAATGTCACCGCTATTTCTCAACCTTATTATTATTTACAGTGATGGCCCCAAGTTCTAGAAAACTTAAAGGGCCCATGCAATGTAATTTATTTTAATTCAATCCATGAAAATGCACCTTTGTGTCCAATTTAACCTTATTTTCAATTTTCATTTTGCAGATTCAAGGGTATGTTGGTGCCCTTTTGGGTTTTATGTTAATGCAAAATTCTATATTTCATGAGCAAAAGTGTGATGTCATTTCAGGCAGAAACCTCAATGTTACAACTAGTTCCAGTACAAAAAGTTGCCAGAATTTGGGATATTTCGCTGTCGTAAACTTTCTTTTCTTTAGTGATACCTTGGTGTCATACATGGCAGTAAGCCAATCAGTAAATTTTTTTAACAAATGTTTTAAATGAGCAAATTTTGGGGTTCAGAATTTGAACAGAAAACACCTTAAATGAACAGGGCCCTCAGTTATCCGGAAAAGTATGGAAAAATAAATTTTTAAAAAGGTGCACTTTTCAATAAAATTATCCAAAAAGGATGTCGATTAGTTTACATACATTTAAGAGAAGTAAAAAGTTGCACAAAATATGTTCCTAAGAAATATTCACTTCATGGGCCCTTTAAATGAAGAACAACCAAGAAAGAACGAAAAGAATGTCCAGACGCCATCTCAGCGGCTGTGTACAAAATTTATGGAGAGTCAAGAATATTTCAAAGTATTTTTCAACAAAATTTGAAAAATGTTCAGGTAGTGGAAAAACTATGTTTAGCCAATCAGACATGGCCTTATGGAACTCTTGTGTCCTGTTCTTGCCTCGTTGGGAGCGTTCCAACAATAAAGAAATACCAGACTGCAATTGTTCAATGAAACACCTGGGAATTTTTGTTACGGCGCTTAACACCGCTGTATTTAAACCGAACAACAACGACGCACTGGGGTCATTTGTGATTTGGGCATGCTACGCAAGTAGGAATTGAGATTGGAAAGCAACGACTAACCCTCCGACACTCAGGTTTTGACTACTTTTGAGGTGATTATTTGGCACTTCTTTCCGGAGTTTGGTCCAAGAGCTGGGATTGTCATGACTGGAAGAGGCAAAGGGGGCAAGGCCAAAGCCATGGGAGCCAAGCCACGCAGTCGCTCCAACCGGGCAGGGCTGCAGTTCCCCGTGGGCCGGGTCCACCGGTTCATGCGCAAGGGACGGTACAGCGATCGTATTGGGGCCGGGGCCCCCGTCTACATGGCGGCCGTGCTGGAGTACCTGGTAGCTGAGATCCTCGAGTTGGCCGGCAACGCAGCTCGGGACAACAAGAAGACTCGAATCAACCCCCGTCACTTGCAGCTGGCCATCCGGAACGACGAGGAGTTGAACAAGATGATGTCCGGAGTGACCATCGCACAGGGAGGGGTGCTGCCCAACATCCAGTCCGTTCTTCTACCGGCCACCAGCAAGGCCAACAAGGCGGCCAAAGCCCTGGCAGCACAGAGCCAGGAGTACTGATAACTCATCGGGGATACCTGGCCAAATTCCTCCCAGACTTTTGGAGGTTCTGACCGGAAGAGCTGGTCTACAAGACTACAACTGCGCTTGGGAACAACTGAGTCGTGAGACATTTTTCCCAAGGTATGTAGAAGTATCGACGGGTTGCTGCCGACCTCTGTTACGAGTGAACAGAAGACGTTGAGAAGAGATTACTTGATTAATTTCCTGGTTCAAGAACTGTTGAGCTAGAATCCATATTCGTCTTGCGTCACAACATACTTTCGACAATAGAAAAGTCATGCATTTTGTATTATGTTTGAATCTAGCTATGGTATAGATAATTTAAAAGATGTTATTGAAAACCTCATTTGCAAAGGAATAAAGTTAATTCCTTTTGATTATCAGTGTTAAAAAAAACACCACAGCTTTATGTTTTGCTGTACTGACCATCATGTTGCGGCCATCTTGATTTTTCCCATTCAATCAACGTAACCAAAGCGAGGCTGGAAGGAAAATAGTCTAGTTCCTTTTTGCACAAACAAAATATCATTCAGTACTGTTATTGGATACAGGGAACATGACTGAAATGGTGGCAGCATGGTAAAGGTATATTGTGGATATCGCAGACTACATAGTACAGTTTATATTTTACCAACATAAAAACCAGTGTTTATTGAATAAAAAAATGAGTGTTTAAAGTGTTTACATGTATTTAAAACATGAGCCAGATGAGACGAGTCATGAAAATTTTGATAAATAAGGCTCACCCACTTTCCAAGGAAAACATTCCTCCTTCGTCGCCAATGTCTGCTCCTGTCTCGTTTTGACAGCTTTAATTTATTGGAGAACATAGGCTTTATACACTAGAGTAGTCTATAGTACACAAGAAATAATACCAAAAAAACCTCGCTATAATTAAAGATTCCAAGTGTAAAAGCCCCATTTTTACTGGGTTGATTGGATAACGTCTTCATAGCGTTAGCCTTGGATGGATGGCACTGAGGATTCGCCTCGTCTCTGTCGCTACGTTATAACCTAAAATCAACACAGTTTATTCAAGTGGCTGTCACTTGTCAATTATCATTCTCCAGTCTCTCGTCTGATACTCCTCAGTAGAGTTTGTTTTCCTTCTTGGATCGATGTAGCAAATTTCAAAGGATTATTTACTTTTGGCCATTTCTGGTTGGAACTAAAACCAATATAAATGGCGGGTTTTTTTGGGGGGGGGGGGTGTTGGGGGGCGATCGTGCTTCTCACAATGATCCGAACATTAATGTATGTTTATTTTGTGTGGAACATATGTAAAAAAAGATTTTCTTTATTCATTAAACAATGCTTTTGGTTTTAGATGATAGTTATTGTCTACTAAATTTATTTTGTTGTCGAGCTGTAATGACTTTTTCATGTTGGTTATTTTGTTGTTTTAATGACGTTTGATAAACAAAACCATAGGCTAATCATCACCTACATGGCAAAACAAATCCACATCTCATGTTGCAATTTAAAAAATTAATAGTCACATAAACGGAATAAAACCCATCACCATCTTCAATCTCCTTGGCGTGAAAAAAGCCAACAAGAAAATAGTCATATACAGTATGTCCTAAATAAAACAAAACACGAACCACACGTTCGAAATAAAAACACCCACTACACCGTGACAGAACTCAACTGGACTCGACTGGACTCGACTCGACGCGACTCGACTCGACTCACTTAGAACTGAGTGACTGGACTTGACTCGAGTCACAAAAGTAAGTGACTCGTTACTAGGGGTGCATACCTATGTTCCCTAAACCTACCCCCCCCCCCAACCCCCAAGGATTTCGGGGAACATAGGTCTCTGGGAATATAGGTATTGGGGAACATCGGGTAGACCCCGCGGCGTAGGCTGCGCTGGCGGCCCTGGCGCGTAATAAAACGGAAACAGGTCAACTCGTACGCGAACCAACTCGTACGCGTGCCAACTCGTACGCGAGCCAACTCGTACGCGAGCCAACTCGTACGCGAGCCAACTCGTACGCGAGCCAACTCGTACGCGGGCCGTTTTAGGAGTGGTTTCGAGGATTGGGTTGGCATGGTTGGGAAGAATTTGGGAATAGTGTGACGGGTAGTCCGTAGTTCAATGTGTGACCGTTGTGTGTGATTGGGAGTGAACCCGTGAATGATGATAATAAAGTAACTGATTTTTGTAAATTCTGATTTTAACAAAAAATAAAAATCAACTCCCCATTTTTTCTTTTTTTACAAAATATTATTTGGATATATAATAATTAGGACTTAAAAACTATCTGACCCAAGCAAAAAACTGGCGGACGCTGTCCGTACAACTGCATGCGTGATGCTATATTCCTTTTTTTTTTTATAGTAGCTCCTTTTTATACAATAGACCTCGCAAAAATCGGTGTTTTCTTGTCATTGTACTTGTCTAACCAACCAGCAATTGTACCGCGGCATACACAGGTTACAGCGATTCAATCATGCATTCTTTATACAGTGCGCGGTGCGGCGGGAACCTATCATACTGCATTGGTTATCGCGAAGACAACTTCCCAATCAATCAAGCGAACTTGTAAAAAAAAAAAAAAACGCAGAATTCTTCTCTAAAAAATCGCGAATGTAAGTAGCACTGGCGGATTCAAAAATCAACTACATTTAATTTGAAAATCTCAACCTTTCAGAAAAGGTAAAATTATGCCGACCTACCGTTGGTCCGCGTACGAGTTGGTCCGCGTACGAGTCGGTCCGCGTACGAGTCGGTCCACGTACGAGTCGGTTCGCGTACGAATTGACCCGCATACGAGTTGGTCGCGTACGAGTTGGTTCGCGTACGAGTTGACCTGTATTCATCTAATTCAATAAAACCACCACGGGCGTAAATAAGGATTGCCATTATTTTGTCAAATGAGGGCGGGCTTGACCAAAAAAAAATACTCTTGCGATCGATCGTGCACAAAAAAATGACACAGCAAACAGCACCCCGCCATTTTTCATGGTAAACACGAACAAAATTACTAATCGAAGCCTAAACGTACAGTCACATATCAAGGTAAGATCATAATATAACAAATTAACTAAAAACATCATTTCTCTTCTATTGTTAACGTTAAAGAAATGTTAGGTACAAAAATACCGGCGAGTAGGCCTGAAGTTACCGGACATGCCGGAAGTGTGTGCAATGCCAAAGGCCTAATTTGGAAAACGGGAAAATGTGTACAAAATATAGAGAGCTATATATTTTGGTAGTTGCTATTGTTACGGCAGTCAACCGTCTGGTTCCCTGCCAAATATTATTCAAAGTCAGAATCTGTGGCTCTTGGAACCAGGCAACCAAATCATTGTTCTCAGACTAAGTTAATTTCCCTTTTAATTTAAAACAAATCCTGCAAAGCCAAAGCCACTGACTTCAGAAGAAAATGAAATGTAGGCCCTACTTCAATTAAAAGTAGGATTTCATTACAAACATAAACAATTTGATCCCGGGACCTTCGTCATGAACCTTTAACATGTTTAACCAATCGAGCTACGAAAGCATACTGGTTGGTTGGGCAGTTATAAATATTAATAATATTATTATGCAGATTTGAAATGCAAATAGCAGTTGAAAATTGCGTTAACGATAGCCACTGTGATGCGTTAAACCTGCAATCTCATAATTTGCCACACATCTTGCTCAAAAATCTCAAACACTTATTTACTTCCTCTTCATGACAGAAAAGAAGAATACTATAACTTAGTAATGAACAACTCAGAACAAGATATAAAGGCCTGGCACTAGAGGTGGCAAAACCTTAAAAGCATAGCTTGTGTCAGGCATGCCATTACACAAAAACAGATAAATTATTACAGAAAAACATTCCTTTTACAAAGTTATGAAAAAAAAGATGTCTTGATTCTCAAGGTATCAAAAATAAAACTACTTGGGCTTCAATGGTAGTCATGATCATTTTGTGGTTGCAAATGAAATAAGACCAGTTTTCACCATCACAGTGTACTTTGCTTCAAATGAAATGAATTCACCGCACGTGCAGAGGTCACAATCTCAAATACAACAGTCGACTAGACACCCCGTGACGGCGTTATATAGGCTAGTGTCTTTTGAATTCATCAAATTTATCACAAGCATGCCAACTGCACCCCTTATTTCAATCAATGGTTTTGAAAGAAAAATATTGTTTACCAGGTATTTATATTTTTTTAGCATTTTCAACTTGGGCACGATGGGTAGAGAGTGCCCCCACGCAATCAGGACAGCGGCCTTTCACGAGGGTGATCTGAGGCAACGCGCCCAGGTACAGTGTGTCGCCTGAAACTTTGTTTTGTGGTGTTAGATTTTATTCTTGTTCTTTGTGGTTTGTTTGTTTTTTTCCGGGGGGGGGGGGGGGGGGGGGGGGGGGGGACGGGAGAGTCTCTTTTTTTTTCAATGTTGAGGCCATGAAAATGAGATTTTAGATTTGGGATCTGAACTGAAATTTTGGAAATTCATGAGGCTTTTATATTGGAAAGATCTTGAAAATGTGAATGTAAGATTTAATAGCAGTTTCAAATATTTAGGACCCTTAGTATTTTGAAAAGTTTTCCTTTGAATTCAGACCTCAGTCTGGGTTTGTGAAATTACTCCTCAAACTCATCTCTTCATTGTGGAAATTTGTGAGAAAATATATCCGCTACTGTTGCCTGTATGTAGGCAACTAAAGTTGATTTTGCTCAAAGGATTTTCTGAGTCTAGTATAACTCCTATATTTGACAGGGATGCTGCAACTCCTGTGACGCTGCGGGACCCAATCTGTGGATGTGCCTGACTGTAAGTTGAAGTCTTCTGAAGTAGCTTACTTATGTTAATGTTACACCCTAACTGCTCTGTCGGTCCCCACTATAGATGGGACCGTCCCAACTTAAACGGAATGTACATCATTGGCTTTTGCTGTAATTTTCAGAAATGAATTATTTGGGGGGTTAGTATAACAGATCAAATATTGTTACACTGTCATGTTTGAGGTTTTGTGTTCGAAAATGCTGGAAAAACCAAGAAAAACAAAAATGTTCAAGTAGTCTGGTTCCCGTTCTCCACTAAAAATGAAATGATCAAAAATGCCGGAAAATTGTAAGATAAGGGAAGCAGTCTAGCTGGCCTGCAACCCGTTCATGAACATGGAACAAATAGCAAACAAAGGCCTAACGCACGTAAAAGAACCCAGTAACACTTATCGCTAAGAGAAGGGGTTTGCCCCGGTGTTTCTGGCCTCCTAATTATACTCCCTTGTGGAAGTCCTTAGGAGAAGAACCAAACAAGTACCAAGTAAGTAACCAAGCATTCTTGAGAATTATAGTTGTCCTTGTTCTCTGCTATTTACAGGAGAATTGTGGATATGTCGGGTGCGGAGAAGCAGGCAGTGACCATAGCTCAGTACACACAAAGGTAAATTAACCCTAACCATCCCAAATCCTCCAAAATCCTTTTTGCAAATTGGAGGAATTTGCAGGATTGAGGTTACATGGCAGAAGTGCGTTGCTGATTTCGGAGGACGCACTATGTCAAGGTCTTGGGCTGGACCTTGTGTTGTTTATGCTCAGCCTAGCATAAATTTAGTCCTTGATAATACTTGAAATCCTCCGCACTGCTCCAGGGTGTCTCTGCCTCAGCCTATTGACAGTCATAGCCGGAGGATTTTGCAGGATTCAGGCAGTGGTCACCTCTCCACGGACTATATTCAAGAAATAATGGAGGAATTTTCAGGATTTCAGGCTATATGCTGTTTTTCCTTGAGGCCAATTGGAGGAATTTGCAGGATTGAGGCTACATCCTAGCAAAAAGGCCCAGGGAGTTAGGGTTAAGGACCAGGCAGACTCGGTAAACCAAAAATAGACCACACAGACAAGTCCGACCCAAAACACTCCTTAACACAACTTAATTACACCAACACAGCAGTTAAAGTAATGTAGGATCATTTACAATTACCTTAAAAAGTACCTACCAATTTGATGTCGGAAAATTGAAAAAAAAAAAAAAAATTTGGAAAAAGAAATCTGGCACTCCATCCCTTCACATAGTCTATGTATCGCCGTGGTCTATGACATGTGAGCAGATTCGCTGATTAATTAGGCAAGACAACCGCCTCTTGACCTCTAGATTTTAACCAATCAGCCGGCACTTTTTATGTCGGGTCTTCGGTCATTCACCCGTTGCGCGTCATAGACAATGGATAAAAAAAAAAGTGTCACGCGCTGTGTATCATGTTACGCGACAATGCGCCCGGCTATTGTATTACAAAACACTGCATTCGAATTGACCAATCAAACCGTTTAGTCCTGATTTGGAATGAAATGACGACACAATTTAGTAAAGTCGACTCCAATTGGCTGGCGCGCGGCTTGCATATATCTGCATGTCTAGACACATCAGACGTTACACAGGAGACTCTTGGCTCCGTGGATACAGGTGATACTCAGACTACCCTTCACTGGCCAGAAAAATTATTCCTTGTGTTGTGAGCGGTTAGGCAAAAAAGTCTGACCGCCAATCATGAGCCGTAAGAAAATTGGTTACACCCTACGTGTCGTCAGCATGCTAGACTTGTTCCGAGTGCGCTCAATCAAAGTTAGGTTTTCTGCATGGATTTACCACATTCACATGTGTACAGCAATTGAAAGTGACCTGGTGTGCAAGGCTAAGATCATTGCGCATGCACTGCTGCGCGACAATCGCCGTGCCAGAGTGATACATGATTATATGTATTGTACTTTCAATGTAGACGTGTATGGTCTTTCGATTTGAGTATGTATGGTGTATTGCAAACGTCTTGTGCAACATTGTTGGAACCGTATAACATGTCAGATTTTTCAGGCCCTGGAGCAAAACCCATTTAGATTTGTATGGTAGTTTAACCCTAACCCCCTATTACTTCAGTTGCCTGCTGAATCCAACATTTTGCATGAGGAATGTACACAAGGGGTTTACTGCTCAATCTAACAGGCTCCATCGGGTATGTGACATAGTTGGATCATGTTTGATTCAGCAGGGTTATTAAAAGAGTTTTTTCAGTAAATCTTATCTGTGCGATTTTTTCCTACAGAATATGGACCACCAGCTGAACCTGAATCTGTTGTCCTTCCGCGTCTGGTGCTCTGCCTGCGAAGAGGAAGCCTTCCCCGACTGCGTCATCCGCGAGGGCGCCATGGAGGTCACACAGCGCCACCGCGTGGTGGTGGAGAGAGAGGTGCAGCGCGTGGAGCACCAGCGCATCATGCGAGATCTGCCGCCGAAGTGAGTGTCCGTTCTGTGCATTCAAGTGTTGTACATCTGAACGCTTTTCTTTGGATTTTGAGTGGTGTTGTTTTTGGAAACCAACAAAATGCATGAAGTGCAAATTCATCCTATAGCCTTTAAGTCAGGAATCAGGAAAAACAATCAAGATAAAGGAACAAGTCAAGATGCAAACCAAGAGTATATGTTTTGTTTTGTCTTGGCAGAGGCCCTTCATTGCTGCCCTCAGATTCCTCAGTAACTCAGGCCCTGGACGAGTTCTTCAATAAGGACCGAAAACCAAGAGGTGAGTTAGTCACACACAAAAAAAAAATCAATTTTTTTTTTTTAAAAGTCAGTCAGACTTTTTATAAATTGTATCCGGATTAGGCAGAATGAGAGCTTTCCAGTGGTAGATAAAACCTTTTAGTTTCTGAGTTTATCAACAGAAATAAAGACAGCAAACTTAATCGAAGTTGTAAAACTAACTTTAAGCAAATGTCATTTGAAAAATACTGCTGTTGTGTTGCAGTGAACGAACAGTCAACTTATAAAACATGATGAAATTAGGATTCAAAGATATTTTACAGAAAAAAAAGAAAAAAGAAAAAAAAAGGTAAAACAGGATTTACCGATTAAGGTTCACCTGAAAACAAAAACAAAAAAGTATCACCTCTTTGAATTTTGGTGTTGCTGTATTGCAATATGGCAATTTCTGACTTACAGCTCATTTTGCTGTGACATGTCAGATATTTAAAACGTAATAGAATCTGCTGAATAAATGCTTTCAATCGTTAAAGCCAGAGTCCATCATTTGCAGCTATCCCAAAAGTAAATGTCGTAATTATTGTTGAAAAACATACTTGGTTGAAAGATAGTAAGGGGACTAAACTTCCTGTGAAATTATTCTTTCTGGCAAGCTGTCATATTGAAGAAATCAACGAAAGAAGGCCTTTCCAACGGTGCGTCTTAAGAAGCACCGTTGTAAATTTCTGTTAGTAGTTTGTTTTTTTATATGGCAAAGGGCGCGCGCCCTCTATAATTCGTCGGATCAGTGCGCGACATCGCGTAGCTGCATTCGGCTCAGTGCGAAGGTGTCTCGCACGCTGAATTCAGGCCCAATTCAAAACATGATTCAGCAACTTTTGATTTGAAATCGGGATCCTAGAATGTTGTTTTTCTCGAAATATACAGCTGAAGCTGAGCTGAAACTTCATCAGGTTAGTTGTTCAGCACCCTTCTTTAGATTTTGAGCACTTTTGTTGCTTCGAACAAACTGCACAAATTACAAATGTTGGACTATACCTTTAAACAAAGGAAACAAGTTTTAGCCCTCTCTGAGTGATCCATATTGTTTCTGCTTACTCAGGTTTAACAGGTCTACGAAACCTGGGCAATACGTGCTACATCAGTGCTGGTATCCAAGCTCTATCAAACTGGTAAGCTGCTTTGTCACCATATGCACCAGCAATGATTCTGCTTATGGCCTCCGATCCAATCCATAAGGTGGATTTGTTTTGTCAAACTCTGCTTTGACTGTAGGAGATTGATAAGCCAGCTGTACCTACCAGTTGCTTGCTTTTGTCTGTTGATGGAATTTGACTTGACATAGTGTCTACATGAAATATGATCTGACTGTTGGTGACTAAGCCTGTGTACAAATTATGGAAGGGGAAGTGGATTGAATTTCTGACTGTCTGTGACTGCTCAAACAGTAGGAGGGTTTTTAGGGGTACTTACCGCCATACGCAGGTTAACCAGTGCACGCCTACATTGTCTCTCCCCCATCCCCACCCCACTGTTCATGCACCGAGTCCATAATTACACCTGATTATTTTTCTGTTTATTTGTCCTGACAGTCCAGCGTTCACCCATTTCTTTTTGGAGTGCGGCAGCTTCGTCAAGACGGAGAAGAAGCCGTATCTGGCCAAGAGCTACCAGAAACTGATGGAGGAGATCTGGGGCAAGAGGAGGTGAAACAGTCACTTTGAAATTGAGGATGTGACAATTACAATTTTAAACTTGTTAGCGAAAAAACTTGTTCAGTCATATTCAGCATTATCTCAGCATATCTTTGTACACACGTGTAAATAGCTCCATTGACATTGTCTTTGCATGTTAGCTTTCCTACGGGGAGTGTGGCCTAATGGTTTGGGTTTGTGACTCATGATCAGAGGGTCAGGGATGAAATCCAGCTGCTAGCCATATGTTGTGTCCTTGGGCAAGCTGCTTCACCCCCCACTTGCCTCTCTACTCCTTTGAGTACAAATTGGTACCAGCATCAGCTGGGGAGTAACCTGCAATGGTCTGACATCACATCCTGGGGGGGGGGGGGAATAGGAATCTTCTCAGTCATTTCATGCCAAGGAAACTGGAGATAAACGCAAGCCTGATGGGCCATATTGGCTGGTGACGGAATTTACTTTTCAAAAATCTTTCCTTGTAAAAAAATTGATTTGGTTGTTTCCGCACAGACCCAGCTATCTGACTCCGTCGAGTCTCATCAACAGCATCCGTTTAGCGTTCCCCATGTTCAAAGGATTCACACAGCAGGTGAGATGGCATATTATTATGCAAATGAGAACTACATGTCTGTCTGTTACTTCTGATCATCCGGCAAAGGAGAGTTCATGATAGGGTGTGCGTTAGTGCGAGTAAACGTGAATACACTTAAACCCTGTTTGGTACGAGGTATAGGCACTTTATGGGGTTTGTCGCACTCACAGCGTAATCTCTCCACAAAATCCCACACATTGACTTAAAGAGAAGATACAACATAAATTTGCAAACATCGAAAAACGAAATGATCAAATTATCACGAAATACCTTACTGGATTGTTAGGGAATGACAGTCTAAAGCATCCTGTAAAGTTGTGGCTCCTGTTGTGCTGACATTTTCAAGAAAAATTGTATTTTTCCAACGCTGGTCGGCCGACCAGCGTTGGAGAAAACTTTTTTTTTTCCAAAAAGTGATCCTAATTGTTCATATTTAGTTCGTCTGCATTTTCTTTGCAATTGATTACACACCCGTGAAGAGGTACAAGCCTGCTAGACTGATTCTCTGATCTTACAATTCCCCAAGGCTACAAATTGCTCTGTTTCATCTTTAGTGGGGTCAGGGAACCAGACTACAAGAAAATGATTGGTTTTCTTGGTTTTTCCAGCATCTACGAACCCAAAAACGTGAAACAAGTCAGTGTAACAATGTTTGCTATACCATACTAATCCTCCAAATTCATTTATTTCTGAAAATTGTAGCAAGAGCAAATGTTGTACATTTCCTTTAAAGGCAAGGATCTCTGCACCGCATTATATCTTTGCTATGCTGTTGTGATAATGTGTTATGCCACCGTTTCTTTTCACAGTTGATGATAATAATATGAATTGAACTGTGATACACTGTTGGCAACCTGGGGCTTGGTCAAACAGAGTTTGCTTTATGTCGGTGTGGAACCCTTGATGTAGACAGTGGTTTCATGATGGCTTGCCACAGTGTGTAGTTGTATTACCGTGAAGATGCAATGGCTGCAGATTAAGAACGGCTCAACTCACCGACCTCACGTTTGATTTCTTACCCTTGGACAGGACACGCAGGAATTCCTGCGCTGTTTCATGGACAGACTCCATGATGAGCTCAAGGAGCCCCTGCTGGACCAGAACGACAACCCCTCCGGTGGCGACGATACTGATGCTGCCATAGAGCGCCCTCGACGGGCGCGCTCTAACGACTCGCTCTGCCATTCGGATGGGGAGTACAGCAGCACCAGCATGCATGACAACAGCATGGCCAGCGAGAATACAAGCCTTACATCCGACGACGCCTCATCCTCACCCCCACCGCCGCGTCACTCGGGGAGGCAAAGCAACGTCCCCGAACCCCACCCGGACAAGAACAGACGCAACTGGAAGCGGCCGATGTCGGAATCGGAGCAGGACTCGCAACCAAGGGAAGCCGGAGATGCACAGATCCTCGAGACCGGCGGGCGGGGCATCTCCAGACGGGGACGCACCAAGGAGGATCGAGAGAAAGATGCGCCGGAGAAAGACGTGGACGAAAGTGAGCCGGGGAGGGAGCCCTGCAACGAGACCACGGATGAGGCAGCAGAGGTGGAAGAAAGCAGAGGCGGGGGTCAGCCCGAGGACAAACGATTCTACAAGGTTGGAGGTCACGGGAAGCTAGTGAGAAGTCGGAGTCATGAGGAGGTGGCTCTCAGGGTAGCTGATTCCAACAGAGGTAGGTAGCACTAACAAATATTGTCTTTAAGATTTAGCTTGCAGAAAGAACAGAGTTCCCCAATGTCATTACTTGATTCCTAGACGGCAACATAGTAAGTGCATTATTAGTTCTCAGGTCCATTATGATTCATAGATGAGAATGACAGATATTTGATAAAAGACGGACAGAAACAATTATCTGACAAATCACCTACCTATCTCCTCCTATCTTACAAGGCAAGAAGCTGAGCCCCAAGTACCGCAGCATTGTGTCAGACGTCTTTGACGGCAAGATCTTGAGCTCAGTGCAGTGTCTCACATGCGACACGGTAAGAAACAGCAATGAATATCCAAGTAAAAACTTTTGTTATGCTTGACAAAGTTTTTCCAACTAAATATATCTGGTTGAAAATACATAACTGAGCATAAAATTTCTAGACTGAAAGATACCTTGCCTCCGTTTGTTGACTCCTAATCCCTCTCCCCAGATCTCGACTCGCAAGGAGACCTTCCAGGACCTGTCTCTCCCCATCCCAGGCAAGGAGGACCTGGCCAGGATCCACAAGTCCCACAGCCTGCTGGCCAAGGGGGTCACGCCGTGCTCGGATGCCTACGGCAAGCAGGGATGGCTGTCATGGGTCTACAGCTGGTTCTCTGGGTGAGACATTTACAATATAGTCGTGTTCCCTAACGTGGCACACTTCGAAGCTTACCCGACTTTCCTCGTGTAGTGTTGCCAAACCTCTTTGTTGACAAACCTCAATTCATGCAATGAAATACTAGTACTTTTACCTTATCAATGCTTGCTATTTAACCTCTGTGAACAATTTCAGTTTCATAAAATTTAATCCGAAATTCAAAAACGGTGGTGTCCGGAAATTGGGCACAAATTGGCGGAGTGTTCCCTAACGTGGCGCACTTGAATAAATCTTGGAAAATTCCAAATTAACACTTACGAATTCCTGTAAACTTGATAAATTCTGATAAATAATTAATATCTTTACTTACATACCCAGCCAAATGTTTGTCAGAAAATTATTTTCTTATTTTTCAGGGCATTTTCAAAGGGTTCACTTTGCACTTGAAAATAAAATCGGAAAATCACGCCAAAATAGCTTTTCCTTCCAACTTTGTTACGGGTAAATAAACTCGCGATTTATGAACAGGACCGTTTTTAGAACTTGATGAAATTTCACTTTCTGTGAAATTTCAGTTTCAAATTTTGCTCTAGGTAGGCGCTACCGGCGAAAAATCCAAGTGCGCCACGTTAGGGGCCGCGCCACGTTAGGGTACATCAACAATACAGCGATGAGTCGAACTGCATAACACCACACACTTTGTGAACACGGAAGAACAAGGATAATTCAAAAGAGGCATATTTAAATTAAACTATTCAAATATTTGATTTTTAACTGAATATCCAAAAAGCATTTCACACTTTGAATATTTGAAAAGTTTGGAGAAGACGATAAAAAACACTGTGTAATCGTTCCATAGTTTCATTGTTTTTTTAATGCCACGTTTGTGTTGATGGTCACTTTACACACATGATTTTAGAGCTTCCGTGAGGAATATCAGCTGTAATTTGCATTTTTAAAATCTGTCAAATATCACCTGGTCAGCTACCTTGAAAACAATATTGATACGTACATGATGTTCTTAATTTTTTTATCTCAATTTCAACAGGCGCGGGCAAATGCAAATCCCGATCAGCGTTTCACTTCATTCCCACAGGCGCATGCAATTGATTCTGGCGCGTGTAAAACTTTAGCGGCGTGTTTTGAATATTCGATCAAATACCAGTTTGAACAATCGAATACTGAATTACTCAAAAGTGTCTAGGACCACATTCCAAAAGTTGCCAAGAATGATGGGATGAATAGTCCAAAACACTAAGACCATTTTCTATTTTTAACCCTAACTCCCTAGGCCTTTTTGCTAGGATGTAGCCTCAATCCTGCAAAATCCTCCAATTGGCCTCATGGAAAAATAGCACAGCCTCAATCCTGCAAATTCGCCCATTATTTCTTGAATATGATCCGTGGAGGGGCGACCACTGCCTGAATCCTGCAAAATCCTGCGGCAGTGACTGTCAATATGTTGAGGCTTGGCCTGTGACATCCTGGAGCAGTACGGAGGATTTCAAGCATAATCCAGGCCTATGTTTTTGCATGGCTGAGCAAAAACAACACAAGGTCCGGCCCAACACCATGACAAAGTGCATCCTAAGAAATCAGTAACGCAATTTGCCATGTAACCTCAATCCTCCAAATTCCTCCACTTTGGCAAAGAGGATTTTGAAGGATTCAGGGCAGTTAGGGTTAAGAGACCTTGCAATTAAGATTAGTATGCCTTTGAAAATATGGGACTTTTTTTGTCGAAGTCATTTTGAAAACTTGAACTGTGTATTGCAGGTGGATTTGGGGACCACATGTCACTCTAGACAACTGCCTGGCAGCGTTCTTCTCTGCCGATGATCTCAAAGGTGAGGAGAAATGGCCAGAACTAACAAGCACATTAGCATTTACCAAGTTACAATAGAATTGTGCGCAATTCGCACCACTTATTTTCAACCGAGTTTGTATCAATTTGGTCTCTTATTGGTTTGATGAGAGGACAACCAGGATTTGTTTTGTCGTTCGTTGTCCGTGGGGGAGTGTAGCCTAGTGGTTGGGTTTGTGACTCGCGATCAGAGGGTCAGGGGTTCGAATCCAGCTGCTGGCCATACATTATGTCCTTGGGCAAGCCACTTCCCTCCAACTTGCCTCTCTTCATCCAGGAGTATGAATATGGGTACCAGCATTACCTGGGAGTAACCTGCGATGGACTGGCATCCCATCCAGGGAGAAAAGAAATATTCTCAGTCGTTTCATGTCTCAGGAAACCCCCATAAATGCCGGCCGGATGGGTCATATTGGCTCATGACAGACTTGAGTTTACTTTTTGTTATCTCGCACCCTTTTTCAATCGGATTTATATTATATCTATTTTGTCTGTTGTGTTTATCATATCAAACACACAAACTTCCTGCTTTCTAACAGCCATACGTATTTCATCATTTTCTTTCAGGGGATAATATGTACAGCTGCGACAAGTGCAAAAAGTAAGTGTGCAAAACGTAGCTTTTTAATGAGTTGTCTGCAAACGTTAAATTGTCAGATGAGGAAATAAATGATATATTTTTGTATCTCTCTTTCTCCGTAGGCTGCGCAATGGAGTGAAATTCTCCCAAGTACTCGAACTGCCAGAGGTAAGGCTAGCATCAGTGTTATTTAAACAACAAATTTGAAGAATTCAGAGGCATAACATCTTGTGATGTTTTGGTCAAAGACAAATTCTTTATCAAAGGCCCAATTTGGCGGACTCACAAATCAGTGTGTTACCAAGCATTTGCTTCGAAGATTTGCTACAAATCAGCTTGATTTGTGTCTCCAGCAGCAGCTTCTTTCTACACTGCAAGATCTTCAAGTTTACCATCGTTATTTTATTTGTGGTGATTTATCTTGCGGGTAACCTGTGTGCGTGTCTTGTGCAGGTTTTATGTGTCCATTTGAAGCGATTCCGACACGAGTCGATGTCATCTTACTCGTCCAAGATCAACAGCTACGTCTCCTTCCCAATGGACGGTCTGGACATGTCTCCTTATCTTGCCAAAGGTAGGCACGGCATTTCTCTTGTTCTCCTCCCAAGATTTCATATTTTTATTAGTGATGCCTTTTTTCTTCTTTCATTTTCGTTTTATTTCAATTGGACATTTATTATTATATTGACATGCTTAATGACAGCACAAGGACAGTGCATGTATAAAAACAAATATTATACAAATCTAGTTTGCAGAAAGTACATAACTAAATTCACGAAATTTTTTAACAGTCAATGGTTGTTCTCCTTCAAGGCTCTTTGTCTATTTTCAAAGTACTTTCCTTGAAAAATTTATTCATTTCCCCCCCTTTTTTCCGACCACAGAATGTAACAATCAGTGCTACATGTATGACTTGACAGCCGTTATTTGTCATCATGGAACAGCTGGAGGCAAGTTATAGAAGAAAAAATTGTTTTGTTCGATTTTCATTTATTGTGTTGAGATTAAATTTTTTGAATATTCTTTCCAACATCAGTGGGTTAGAATGTTGGTCCTCTCTTGCATTATTTCCACCTTAAAGGGAATATACAACATTTGCAAACATCAAAAAATAAAACTACCAAGTTTTTACGAAATACCTTACTAGGATGTTGGTAAATGACAGTCTAAAACATCCTGTAAAATTATGGCATCTGGTGTGAAGTCATTTTCAAGAAAATGGTATTTTTGTATACATTTCCGACCACCGTTGGAAAAACCTAACTATTTTTCAACTACTCCTCCAACTTTACACTTTTTTTCAGTCCAAATTTTGTTTGCTATTGGTTACATGTTCATGAACGGGTGCAGGCCAGCTAGACTGGTTCCCTTTAATACCTTACAATTTTCCGGCATCTATAAATGATCCATTTTATCTTTAGTGGAGTCAAGGAACCAGACTACTTGAACATTTTTGTTTTTCTTGGTTTTTCCAGCATTTTCGAACACAAAACTTCAAACATGTCAGTGTAACAATATTTGATCTATTATACTAACCCCTCAAATAGTTCATTTCTGAAAATTACAGCAAAAGCCAATGATGTACATTCCCTTTAAAGGTAATATACAACATTTGCAAACATCAAAAAACAAAACCACCAAATTATTATGAAATACCTTACTGGACTGTTAGTGAATGACAGTATAAAGTATCCTGTAAAATCATGGCCGACCAGCGTTATAAAAAAATGGCTTTTTTTTCAAATACTTTAGTTAGTCTACATTTTGTTTGCAATTGATGACACACCTCTGAATGGGTACAAGCCAGCTAGACTGGGTCCCTGACCTTACAATTCCCCGACATCCATAAATTGCTCCGTTTCATCTAATGTGAGGTCAGGGAACCAAACAACAAAAACCTGATTGTTTTTCTTTTGTTTCCCAGCATCTACGAACACACAACTTCAAGCAAAATATTTACTATAAAATACTAACCTCCCAAATCCATCCATTTCTGAAAATTACAGCAAAAGCAAATGTTGTATATACATTTAACATCAGTATTACCCCTGGGAATATAGAGACTTCATTGCCGTAAATTGTCATGCTTAGGGACACAGAAACACTGTGATCCCTTCGTAGAGTTCAGACCTTAATTTTGAAGACTGTATTAATGTCCCATATTGTTTGCAAATTCCAACCCCCCAAAAATTCAATCTTCAATCACTCTTCCAGGTGGTCACTACACGTGCTACGGCCAGAACTGGCTGAACGGTCAGTGGTACGAGTACGACGACATGTATGTCACGGAGGTCAGTGACCTCCAGGTGGCCAACTGCGAGGCCTACGTCTTGTTCTACAAGTAAGCGAAACGATCTTATTCCAAAGCTGCTAACCACAGAGATCCACTAAGCGCAGAAAAATATTTAGTTATTAAAAAAAAAAAACAGGATACCACCTAAAATACCATGCAATGTATATTGGTTGTAACTGGTTCTTGGTGTTTCTTTTATTACAAATTTCCATTGTACGTCAAGATAATGGTACCTGCTACTCTGGAATTGTTTTTTTTAACATACATCTACATGTATCATAACTTTTTTGAGCTCTGTTCAGTTTTAAAATCATAATAATTAAAAAGTTTAACAAAAAAATTGCAGGAGCACGATTTGAACCTGCGACCTCTAGATTATCATACCGGCAGTCTTTCAACTGCTTTCTGACCACCACCCTTGACCAAAGATATTGACAAAATTGGGAAAACGTAGGGCTGGATAGCTCAGTTGGTAGAGCACCAGAATGGCAATCCGGAGGTCACAGTTTCAAACCCCGCTTCAGTCAATTTCTTTTTTTCAGCTATATAATTATTAAATTTGCACCTAGTCAGTTTCCATGTGTGGTTTATTGGATTAGTAGTTTTAAATTCATTAGGATCATAAATCAGCAGATTTTGAGATAATTTTATTATTATTTATTTTGTTTTGCAGGAAAGTTTCAGATGAGGCAGTCAAGGAAAGGCAGAAAGTATCGGACTTGTTTGAACAACATGAGGTAGGCATCATCGGCTGGAATAACTTACACGTCTGTAAATTGGATTCATTATTAAAGTTGTGTACCCCTGGTACTACTGGTACTAAACCCTAACCGCCCTGAATCCTTCAAAATCCTCTTTGCCAAAGTGGAGGAATTTTGAGGATTGAGGTTACATGGCAAAAGAGCGTTACTGATTTCGAAGGATGCACTTTGTCAAGGTCTTGGCCCGGACCTTGTGTTGTTTTTGCTCAGCCATGCATAAATATAGGCCTGGATTATGCTTGAAATCCTCCGTACTGCTCCGGGATGTCACTGGCCAAGCCTCAACATATTGACAGTCACTGCCGCGGGATTTTGCAGGATTCAGGCAGTGGTCACCCCTCCACGGATCATATTCAAGAAATAATGGAGGAATTTGCAGGATTGAGGCTATATGCTTTTTTTCCATGAGGCCAATTGGAGGATTTTGCAGGATTGAGGCCACATCCTAGTAAAAAGGCCCAGGGAGTTAGGGTTAAACACCCAGCCGTGGAATTATTCCATCTGGCTTAATGTCATGCATGAAAAGCAAGTGATCCTTTATGCCTTGAACTGTCAGAAAATCATCAGTGTTAACTCAGTTGATAGATTCAATTGATTGCTACTTGCTTTCAAGCTTATATATCCACTTTTTTTTGTTTCTGCAGCCAAGCTTTCTCCACTTCTATGTGTCGCTGCAATGGCTGAACAAGTTCAACAGCTTTGCCGAGCCGGGCCCCATCTCCAACAATGACTTCTTGTGCAAACACGGAGGTTAGTTACAGCCGCGCAACCAAACATGTCTTGTCGTGAAACTTACTCTACTTTGCCTATAGTCAATTTTTGTTTTCGTCACTCTCATAAGCTGCGTCTGCTGGGTCAATCTCAGTACTCTCAAAAGTAAGAAAATGTTGAGCGCACATTCAACTCGGGTTACGTCGCTCGCACAGTTAATATTGTCATTTGGCATGCGTAATTATGGCTGAAGGTAATAGCAGAAGGTAATTGTTTGTAAAATAATGAGGTTTTAATGTGGAAATACGAGAATACAGTTTTAGATCATATTCAACCATTTTTGTTTTCTGTGTAGGTGTACCGCCCAGCAAGGCTTCCTACGTCGACCAGCTGGTGCTGAAGGTGCCACAGCCAGTCTGGGAGTATCTCCATCAAAGGTCAGTACATTCATCAGATCATCAGATCATCTTCAATTCGGGCGATTCTTCGTTCTTGGTTGGTTCATCTCCTAAATTCTCTGCATGGGAGTTTATACTGGAGAGCAGAAACACCGGGGCAAACCCCTTCTCTTAGCGATAAGTGTCACTGGGTTCTTTTACACGGGACCTACGGCTTTACGTCCCATCCGAAGGACGAAGCAATAATGGTTAAGTGCCTTGCTCAAGGGCACAAGTGTCCACCTGGTGGGCTCGAACCCACGCCACTGTTGCCTCTGAAACACCAGAGCATGAGTCCGGTGTTCTTAACCGCTAGGCCATGACCCTATGCAGTGCGCCACCAAGAGTTTTCCATGGAGAGTCCATTTTTTTGAAGTTTATGGTCGACAAAACATGGCCCATTTGAATGAGTGTCAGTAGACAACTTGAGCTAATTTGTTATAGATTGGGGCATAGCGTTCTGCCACCTTACAAAAAACACAATATTGATGAAAAGAAAAGGGCAAACAGATCCTTGAATCATACGCTTATGTAATTACTGACGGAAAAACTAAAAATTTCAAATGTCTCACGCTGCGAATTTGTCGACTCTCTCCCACAATGCACTGGGAAAAATGAACTCTCCATGGCAAACTCTTGGTGGTGTACTGCATTGTGAATCGCCCCGAATTGATTGACTGATTTTCATTTGATCGGATGTGATTTTTAATAAAAGGTTGAATTGAATGATTTAATTTAAATGGCTAGTTGGATGGTTTTGCATGGTTCTCGTCGTCAGTTGAAGCAGTTTGATTGATTTGACTGTTTTTAACTGTTCAGAGTTCCCTTGCTTTGCCTTGTTTTGACTGGAGGTGATTGATATGCCAGCTATTCATGTGCCTACCCGTTACCTCTTTTGATGGAATTTGACTAGTCACAGTGTTTCACATGAATGTGATATGACTGTTTTTTGACAAGCCTGTATACTAATCCATGGCAGGGGAAGTGGAAGAAATTTTTGATTTTTCTGTGACTGATCAGACAACAGGAGGGTTAAAGCTATAGTCCATCATTTGCAGCTATCCGAAAAGTAACTGGCGTAATTATTGTTGAAAAACATACTTGGTTGAAAGATAGTAAGGGGACTAAACTCCCTGTGAAATTATACTTTCCAGCAAGCTGTCATTTTGAAGTAATCAACGAAAGAAGGCCTTTCCAACGGTGCTTCTTAGGACGCACTGTAAGCAATTTAAATTAGTAGTTCGTTTTGTTATTCGGCGAAGCGCGCGCAAGCATTGGCACGATGCACACGCATGCGCGGTTGCTACAATTCGTCGGATCAGTGCGCGACATCGCGTAGTTGCAATCGGCTCAGTGGGAACGTGTCTCGGACGCTGAATTCAGGCACAATTCAAAACATGATTCAGCAACTTTCGATTTGAAATTGAGATCCTAGAATGCTGTTTTTCTCGGAATGTACAGCTGAAGCTGAGCTGAAACTTCGTCAGGTTAGTTGTTCAGTATCCTTCTTTAGATTTTGAGCACTTTTGTTGCTTCAAACGAACAAAATGCACAAATTACAAATGATGGACTATATCTTTAAAGGGAAATTACAACATTTGCAAACTTCAAAAAATAAAACTACCAAATCATTTTGAAATACCTTGCTGGACTGTTAGTGAATGACAGTGTAAAGCATCCTGTAAAATCATGGCACCTGGTATACTGTCATTTTCAAGAAAAGTGGTATTTTTGTATCAATTTCCAACGCTGATCGGCCGATCAGCGTTGGAAAAAACTGGCTTTTTTTCAAATACTGGCCCCAGTTGACAATCGCACTTGTTTGCAATCGATTACACACCTATGAACAGGTACAAGCCAGCTAGACTGGTTCCCTGACCTTACAATTCCCCAATATATGTAAACTGCACTGTTTCTTCTTAAATAGAGTCAGGGAACCAGACTACAGGAAAATGATTGTTTTTCTTGGTTTTTATAGCATTTTCGAACCCAAAACCTCAAAAAAGTCAGTGTAACTATATGTGCTATATATTTCCAACCTCCCAATTCCATCCATTTCTGAAAATTACAGCAAAAGCAAATGATGTATATTCCCTTTAACATTGATTGATTGATTTGATGTAGGTATGGCGGAGGCCCAGCTGTCAACCACCTGTATGGATGCTCCACCTGCCAAGCAGAAGCTGAGCAAATTGAGAGACGACGCAAGGACGAGAAGGAAACATTCCTCAGAGTAAGAAAGTTAAAAACAGTTTACAGCGCAACATTTAAAATGTTGCACATTAACCATTTTTCTTAATGTATCCTAGGTAGTAAAGCATTCTATGATTATGATACTGGCATGGCAGACGTTGAATTCATGCAGAAGTATTTTGAGGCTTGTGGTACAAATCTTGCTCATGGATAAATAACAGCAACAGTAACACCATTGTTTCAAACAGGGATTGCACTAAGCATGGCCACTCCTTGGGAATTTTCCCCAGATCTTGGGAATTTAGGCCGGGGCTTGGGAGCGTTTCGCTGGGCCTTGGGATTTTTTGCGTATTGAGAACACACGAAAGTATGGATTGCACTTGCGCAAAATGTTAATTGAAGCACTTCGTGAGCCCCATTCGCATAACAATATTTTGGGAAATTTTCTGCAGTCATCTTGGGATTTTCAAATTTGATGATTGCCCTTGCACATGCACTGATTTCTCGACCACAATCCACGGTTATTCCCCTTCTTAACTTTCTGTAAATCTTCTCGCTGCATTGTTAGATTTAATTTAATTTCCGTTCTTGATTTCATCTTTGATATTTTTGTTTGTTACCACAATCCACGGTTATTCCCCTTCTTAACTTTCTGTAAATCTTCTCGCTGCATTGTAAGATTTAATTTCATTTCCATCCTTGATTTCATCTTTGATTTTGTTTTGTTTGTCCGACAGCTGAACGAAGCTTTCTCCCAAGACGATTCCCCAGACTCTGTCATCTACTGCATCAGTCTGGCCTGGTTCAAGACTTGGGAGAACTTTGTCAAGGCTAAAGAGAAAGGTACAGTGACTCGCAACAGAATGCAGGAAGATATAAAGGCTTCCCAACTCCCACTAAGTCCCCAAAACAGTGACCCAACCTACCTGGATTTTTTAGGCCAAATTGCTGACCTCAAACTTTTTTGTTGCCATATTTGGCCAAAAATTTAAAATAAAGTATATTTTAAATAAAAACCAAGCATTCGATAAGCATTTTGTGTGAGCTTTTGGTTAATTAATGTTTATTAAACAGAATAAATTTAAAGGTACTAAAGTAAACACAGTAAGTATAAAAGACCAACAAACAAGCATAAAAAGTTACAAAATGACATTATTTTCCTACCTTCCTACCTGGATAATTTTTAGGGCCTTTTTTTTTCTTGGCCCAACAGTTAACAGTGGCAGAGTTTGTTGGGCCTGTTTTGGAACAGGAATGAATCCCCATTTTGAACGCAGCCAATATATAACATTTTCTTTTGCATTAATCATTATTTCTTTTCTCCCATCCTACCCCTTCTTGTGCAAATACTTGAGTAGAAAATGAGCAGTTTTTTCCACCCTTTCACTTGCACTCAACCACTTGCATATGGAATAAATCACAAATCACGTTCTGTGAACGAAGATTGATTATGATACAGAGCTATCGGCTTAATACAAGCAATTTGATTGGTCCATCCTCTGTACAGATCCACCAGGCCCCATTGACAATCGACCAATCGCCATCATGAAAGGAGGGCATGCTGTACTAAAGCATGGTAAGTCATATTAAAAAAAAAACCTCACAGATCTTGCTTTAGTGCTTTATATGTACAGGTGAACAGAATTTGTCTGTATTCTTTTAAAGGGCTATTGATATACAAATGTAACATGGTCTGAGGGTAGATAGTCGATATTAGTGAGAGGATGTCCCCGACACTGGAATCAGGGTTCAGGCACGACCCTCAGTTTTCAGGATAAGGAACTCAAAAGTAATCTTCAATGCTGATTTATTTCTTCTCCAACTCAAAAAGATCCAGATCATCAGAAGATCCAGTCCATGAAAAACGCCATTTTCTGTGAGAATATCCCTGACACTGGAATCAAGGTTCAGGCATGACCCTCGGCATTGAAGATTACGTTTGTGTCTACTCTTTTGAGTTCCTTATCCTCAAAACTGAGGGTCGTGCCTGGACCCTGATTCCAGTGTCAGGGACATCCTCACAGAAAATGGCGTCATAGACAGGATAGAGGAACTACAAGTCTTTTATGGACTGGATCTTTTTGATTGGTTGGGTCTTTTTGAGTTGGAGAAGAAATAAATCAGCATTTAAAGATTCACTTGAGTCGACTCTTTCTGTTCCTTATCCTCAAAACTGAGGGTCGTGCCTGGACCCTGATTCCAGCGACAGGGATATCCTCTCATTAGCTTCCAACAAAATTCAGACGCTGCCCTATTACTTTCTGAATGTACAACTTGCTCTTCTCAGGAGCCGACTGTGGCCAGATCTCCAAGGAGATGTGGTGCTACCTCCACTCCATTTACGACGGGGGACCCGAGATTTTCCTCCACCCAAACCGCCCTTCCCTCATGGACCACGCCCAATCAGCCATGTCGGATGAGGAGAGCGCGAGCCCGCGGGACGACCCCCAATCTAGACTTTGAACAAAAGAGTTCATCTGTAGGCACTCAACCAAAGACACATGTATGAACTCTTTGTTGCTCCACCCAAATTGACCACACCCGGTCAACTGGCTTATATGCAGAAAACATGCACTCAAAGGAAAATACTGAATCCAGACTTGACAATCTACAACCATTGCAAGTAACATGAATACATTCCAACTGCCACCAGTTTGACCACACCCGCATTGACAACACCATCAGCCACCTCAGATATAGTTATTTCGAGGACACACCATCCAGACAGTAATCAAAACCTGTACGTGACTCTAGAAATATGAATGCATCCCAACAACTACTTTGGCCACACCCAATTTGACCACACCCAAAATCAGTCAACCCCACTCAGTTTCTTTATATGCAGTAAACTAGAGCCCATAGGACATCCACTCCAGACTATAATAAACCTGCACTGAACACAAGATGCATTAATGCATCCCAGCTGCCACATCCAGTTTGACCACACCCGATTTGACCACACCCGATTTGACCACGCCCAAAATCAACCACGCCCAGTCAGGCTCCTTAGAAGCAGCAAAGTAAAGCCAACAGGACACCCTCCTCCAGATAAATAAAAAACCTGCACTCAAGAAACATGAATGCATCCCAAGCCGACTTCCACACCCAGTTTGACCACACCCAGTTTGACCACACCCAAATCAACCACGCCCAAATCAACCACGCCCAAATCAACCACGCCCAGCCAGCCTCCTCTGATCCCCCTATTAGAGCCTGCAAGACACCGAATCCAGACTGAAAAAATGCATTGGAGCGCAAGAAACATGAATTTAAATATTGAGGCGTATATGTTTTACTCAACATTGTCAACATTAGTCTTGTTAGCAAATCTGAAACCACATTCCTGTTATATTATTAATAAGAATGTATTTGAATTTTGATATCGAAAACAAAAGACTTTACTTTCATTTTTCAGGTTCCTTTGCAAGCACTACTTATATTACTTTTAGTCATTTGCACATGTCAGCATAAAGATAATATTTATACTTACATATGTAAGTTTGAGAAACGTGAAGTAAATATCTAAAGTATTTTTATTATTTATGTTGGAAAAGGTATTCCACTGCAGCTGCATGGGGCAATTTTTCGAACCACAAACAAAAGAATGTAAATTAAAGAAGACCTATGGATGGTCTTGCAAAGCGTACGTCAGTATACGATCAGGATGGAAAATTAAGTCATGACAGTGAATACAGGTAACATCAGAGAAGAAAGTAATCATTTTATGTCCCAAAAACAGTACAGTGACAAATGAACAACATTTGACCGAATCAATGATTTGAAGAATAAATGATTAAGTACTTGGAAATGGACTCGGAAAGAATGTTGCAACCTGACGTAATATATCGTCTCAGTAAAGGTCAGTTATTGCAAAAATGTTGAAAAGACATCATTCTGGGACTGAGAAACTTCCAATTTTGTAAGGAAATAATTTTCTAATAATTTTCTTGATGCTCCATAGAGGCGCCTGGATACTTCATTCTTTCCATGGATTCAATGAATTTATTGAATATAATTAATGAAATATGGAAAGTGATCCATCTCCTAAAAAATATACACCAGTTTGACTCACAAAATGTACTTCTGTTAAAAAAATTCAAATTAAATGTCTTTGTAATTTGTGAAATGTGAATATAATGCTACGTTTCATTCATGATCAAATAATTGATTCACTTTGATTTTATCATACAAGTTACACTGCAGAGTTCGCTTCATATATTTCTATTTCCAGATACCAATTTGTTAATAGCAGAAGTTTGTAATTTTGCTTAGGTACATGTATATAAATTATATTTCACTGTGTGTGGTGTTTTTTCAGTGTTTGAGGATCTCAAATTGTTAAACCGCTGGATTAATTTATTTATTTACAGTACAAATGTATCTGGACAGAAAAAACAAATTACTTGTTTACGAGTTATAACTGAATTCGTTCCAAATATGCAGAATAAATTATGAAGTAGTTATCAAAACAGAAAGTTTAATGTTGGTTGAATAGGTGTGACAGTTTGGTTTTAGTCTGTTTTCAAGAAAATCATGAACAAAGATTCTTAGGTATTTTACTTGCTAAAACAAACACAAATACACCAACAACCCAACAAACAACAAAAATTGGCCAAGTAAAAAAAAAAAATACCAGTTTCGCGTACCCGCCCCCTTCCTTTTTTCCCCCAGACGCCTCTTTTTTTTTATTCATACATTTGCAATATATTTTTCATATCGTCTTTTACTTGTTTCCAACAAAATTGTTGCTACGTAGAGAGAGTTACAGCTTCTTTGGACATAATTGTTTATCAGCAAAGTGGTCGAATTTATTGAATAATCCATCTACCATCTCGGAAAATTTGCATCTTGGGAAATGGTCCCTGCCTCCTTTGTTTTTTCAAAAAAGTCCGAAAGAGAAACTACTTATTTTTTTTTTACTCGGCCTTACATATGATTGGGACATCTAATCATGTCTCTTAGAAGTGTTTTTGAGACAATTTAAACATTTTTTACATTCAATTCCTACTCATTGCATTTTGTAAAATGCTAAAAAACTAGTTTTGCTCTTGCATATTTTTGTTTTCTGAAAATACATCAATTTTTCTCGAAAAGTGATAGAAAATTATTTTAGCATGTCATCTTCTAGTTCAACTTCAGTGGTCATGCAAATTATAAATTTCCCAATTTCAAGCGAACTGGAGCAATACACTACAGGGGGGATAAAAAAAACACCCCAAAACCGAGATATTATTGCTAATTGGAACAGAAGTAGGGCACATGTGAATCAAACGGAGATATCCTCTGTTAGGGTTGAATCTCCTCTTTAAAATGACACCCTGATCATGTCATTACATTCACGGTTGACTGAGCAGTGACCAATTTTAGGAAAGGGTCTATTTAGAGAATTGCGCCACTTTTCAATTGTGGTTTTGTGTCATTTAATTTGTCACAGAGTGAAAGGCTATGGTTGCCAATCAAGGCAGGATGGAAAAAAAGAGATTTCACCATGAAAAGTGACGCAATTCTCTAAATAGACCCTTTCATAAAATGGTAGTCGTGTAGTTGAGGACATACGGACACCTCCCTTTTTTACTTGGTCTTGTTCGGTTCAAAAATGACTTTTGAAAATGACTGTCAAATTTTCCAAAATTACTTTTGCAGCCCCAATATGCAAGCAGTCTTTTTGATTGAGATTAAGTCTATTTTGTTATTTTGATTAGTAGGCCTACTTTGGAAAAAAATGCGACTTTCTTACCCGTTTGCACCTGGAGACGTGCGACGAGTCGTCACAGTTTTTCAGCCTCTCAAGCACTGTCATCATTTTACCCCGTAAATTTCCTCATAAATAAAAACCCTGCCCTCTTTTAGTCCGAGTAACTTGGACCCAACTTATCGCCTTTTTAACTTTCGGACATGGTCTGACGATAGTAGCCTACTATCGCCAGACCATGTTCGAATGTTAAAAGGTTAAACTTGGACCCAATTTATTGCCCTTTTAACATTCGGACATGGTCTGGCAATAGTAGCCTTCTTAAGTTTCATCGCAAGATATTTCTATCAGTTTTGGTGTTGCCGCACCTCGAGCCGTAGTTTGGTAAACAAGGAGTGGCTCTCTGAATCAAAATATTTTCAGCTTGGCGAATTTGAAGGAAAAAAAGGTTTAAATTAGAAGTTTCCTCACGCTTGTAGCTTGGTGTGTCGCTAATGTCAGCCACTGATGTCCATACACAGTTCTTGAAGTTTACAATTGAACAAGAATTGCGTTTGGACAATCATGGGCGAACACCGCTGGAGGACGGAAGGGACGGCTGAATATGCAGTCTATCAAAAAAGAGTTAACTTCTACAAGTCCTGCGTTTACTCTCTGGCACTGGCACCCGCCATTTTGTTAGCAGGACGTCGCAAGTCTGTTTAATTCTTGCGTATTGTGGTGGTGTTTTTCTTCTCAAGGCTACGGTGGCCCACAACTGTCACGGCAAAAGCAAAAGCGCCACGGCAAGCGCAACAGCGCCGCGGCAAGCGCAACAGCGCCGCGGCAAGCGCAACAGCGCCGCGGCAAGCGCAAAAGCGCCGCGGCAAGCGCAACAGCGCCACGGCAAAAGAAAAAGCGCCACGGCAAAAGAAAAAGCGCCACGGCAAAAGAAAAAGCGCCACGGCAAAACAAAAAGCGCCGCGGCAAGCGCAAAAGCGCCACGGCAAGCGCAAAAGCGCCACGGCAAGCGCAAAAGCGCCACGGCGAAAGCAAAAGCGCCACGGCGAAGGCAAAAGTGCCACGGGTTTATTGGGAAGGGGCGTAATCATACATGCCGCTACTACATCAAAAAATAAAATGGGAAGGAGAATGGCCGCCACCAGGAATTCTTATTAAGCACAGAATTTAATTCTTTGAGAAGTGATTTTATGGCCGAGAAAATAGCAAGGCCAAGGAAAACCGGTCAGGAAATAAATCGTCGATATTAATTTGTTGTAGGATAATTATTATTCTAAGAGAGTTGCTGCCGTGAATCAGAGTTTATCAAGGAGTGGGACTCGCTATCGGCACCATCAGGGCCGTTCCTCATTTCTTTACATTTCGTGGGATGCAAACAATTACAAGGACGGGAGGCTCTGTGAGCTGATGCATTTTTGAAAACATTTTTTTCCCCTTCCGACTAGCATGCAGAGAAGTTCCGTTAATTTGAGCCTTTTTTCACAGGTGTGTATACCAGTGTAGGCACGAAAGTGAGCTGCCCAGAGTGTATGAGTTAATTTGTTTTTCTTTTTCAGTATATCATACACATCTATAGGAAGTCGATTAAGGCTCTCCTGCAGGGCTGCGGCAGTGGGTGGGTAAGGCTTGTCAACACGTAACTCGCCCGCGGGCCCATTAGGTTAGAAATTCCCAGAGAGCGGGAATTTCAAAACTCTTCGCTGAACGTTGCTTGCACTGACCGGTTTTCCTTGCTATTTTCTCAGCCATAAAATCACTTCTCAATTCATGGTGGCGGCCATACTCCTTTCCATTTAATTTTAGATGTAGTGGCGGCATGTATGATTACGCCCCTTCCCAATAAACACGACTGAGTTGAAGATAACTCACAAATCGAGAAATGGATCGTTCTATTAGACAGTTGCAACGCTTTCGACAGAGGAGGTTAGGTCGTGGATTTCATGTAAGGAACGTAACACAGGCGAAGACTTTGGATATAGAATAAGAAAGGAAGAAATTAACTTAAAAAAGGGGGGGGGGTAAGGGAGAGACACTAAACAAAGGAGAAGTGTTATCGTTGAGATGCACAGTTCTAAGCTCTTCTATGAAAATTTGGTGAATCTGAAAAGAGCCGTTTGCTTTGTTTCGAGTGAATACGGAACTATTTGATGCCGGAAACAAGCCCTCTTTCTGCCCTGCAGGCTGATTCTGCGATGATGTGGAAGACTGTCCACAGGGCAACTCATCATCGCTATCGCTAAGCATCATGAGGTCTTGTTCGGCTTGTTGGTTTCTTGAGCCGGGGGTGGATGGGCCAATGAGTTCTAGGTTCTGAGTTAATTTCTTTCTTTCTTATTCTATATCCAAACTCTGGGCAGCTCAATTGTGTGCCTACACTGGTATACACACCGGTGAACTCATGGGCGTCGCCAGAATTTTTTCTAAAGGGGGCAAAACATATTTTTCCCAAAAAATTCTTGTATTTCTGAACAAATTCTCGATTTCTCAGTTTTAGACGGGGGCAGGGACATTTTGCCCCCCCCCCCAACTCATTCAATTTACACCACTATGACTTCGCGCCTCTTTTTCTTTTCTTTTTTTCTCTCAGTTTTTTCCCCTTCCTTTTTTTGTGTGCTATTCCAGGGGGGGGGGGGGAGCGCCCCCTTGCCCCCCTCGCGATGCCCATGGGTGAACTAAGTCTCAAATTATCGGAACTCTTCTCTGCATGCTAGTCGGAAGGAAAAAAACTCTTCAAAAAAATGCATCAGCTCACAGAGCCTCCCGTCCTCGTAATTGTTTGCATCCCAAAAAATGTAAAGAAATGAGGAACGGCCCTGATGGTGCTGATAGCGAGTCCCACTCCTTGATAAACTCTGATTCACGGCAGCAACTCTCTTGGAATAATAATTA